GCGCGCGAAACCGGCCACAGTCGAGCGCGTACCTGCTGTATTTCCCCATGTCACAGGAGTCACTGACAAGATTAGCTACATCTTGAGCCAAAGAAGGTAATCGCTGTTAATTATCACATCTGGACGTTGAACATCTCAGTTTCCTCCGTGACTATGGGTGTTGTAAAGTGCTCAAAACGTCAGGCATGTAAAAATGTTAATATACGCTATAAAATCCGGAAAAACTAGTTTTATTTAAAAGTCCACCGCTAAACTTCTTTTCATACGGATAACCTGATAATTAATTTAACGAGGATAAATGATTACTAACCAGCTGATTTTTTTAATTAGTTATTATTTATATAATTTAACAGACATATTGTCCTACAAATTGCGTGGTACGTTATCCCGGTCCTACGCTATGAAAAAAAATGGTCTTGTGGTATTAATAACTTTTGAGCTTATTATTATATTAGCTTATTATCTTATTATTATTATTTATTTTTATCACATATATTATTACAAAACCATAATATTATAAATATAAATACAATCTATATAAATAATATTATTATTTCGGTTATTATCCACCGCGGCGAGGAATTCTAAGCCATCGGTGAAGTTAGGCATCCAAAGATAGGATACCTTCTTACTATTCAAGCCGTATTTAAAAAGGCCGATTTTTGAATTAATAATGCCTTCAGCCATTTGCCCAAACCTAACTTGGACAGATAATCGTCCATATTTTTACCAATAAGCCCATTGCCTGATACAACTATTGGTACAATAATAGCAGAATCAACGTCCCACATAGCGACAATCTCATGAGCCAGGTCGATATATTTTATTTTTTATCATTCTATGCTTTTACGAGATTCTCGTCATGAGGAACACTGATATCCACTGTTATTGCCTTGCGTGTAGTTCGGTCTATCACCACAATGTCAGGTTTATTTGCCACTATAAACCTGTCTGTGATAATTGACCGATCCCAGTACAGTGTGACACTTCTATTTTCAAGGACTGGCTTTGGTTCATACTTATAATATGGAACGTCCTGTTGAGTAAAGCCAAATTTAATGGCAAGCTGTTGGTTTATTATTCTAGCTACTTGGTTATGTCTGTGCAAATACTCACCATTTGATAGTTGTGAACAACCGGAAATAACATATCTGAGGGACTCTCCAGGGTGGTGACATGCGCGACATACGTCAACTGTGCCGTCCCTCAGAATGTATCTCCAGTAGTTGTTCGTTTTAATTACTTCATCTTGTATTGCGCAGATAAAAACTTCAGTTTCTGCAAAAAGGTCACCAAATTGTAACCATTGTACTGATGCAACCATGTCTACACAAGGATTAGTCAATGCTTTAAAAAATCGACCATGCAGTTGTTTGTCATTCCAAACATTTTTGCGTTCATCCATAGTCATAGTATGAAGCCTCTGCCAGTCCTTTGCCGACATATTAAGCGGGGTTAATGATTTGTCATTAATCACTACGTCATTATGAATGTGTGATGTGTCTTTTTTTTAATAAAATAGTCTCTGAGGTTGTATACTTCACGGTTGTGCAGGTTTTTAATGTTTAATAAGCCCCGTCCACCATCTTTTCTTGGAAGATACAACCTCATGACAGATGATCGTGGGTGATGCATTCTGTGTGTAGTCATTAATGTACGGACTCGTCTATCTAAGTCAACCAATTCTGTTTGAGACCACCTTGTAACACCAAAAGTATATAGAAGGCTAGGTATTACCCAGGAGTTATATGCTCTAATTTTGTTTCCGCCGGATAAATGACTTTTGATAACTTTTTTTAATCTTGACATAAATTTTACTTTTGAATTTTCTTTAATATTTTTGTCATTAATTCCTAGTGCTTCTGCCATGCCCAAGTATTTATAGGTTTCTGTTTCAGAAAGAGAACTGAAGTGTAAGTCATTTGTTGCAAATTGTTTGCAATTGCAAATTTATTACAATCTTTAATTTTGCCCCTATTTGCGTTGATGACAGCAAATTTATCTATTCCAAATTCCATTCTAATATCATTGTTGAAACTTTGTGTTAATTTCAACAATAATAGTAGATTACTCTCTTTTGATGTGAATAGTTTGAGATCATCCATATAAAGTAGATGTGAGATCGGTGAGTTTTCTTTTCGAAACCGAAACCCTAATCCTGATTCCTCAATAGCAGTGCTTAAAGGATTCGGGGCTAAACAAAACAAAGTTGGGCTCAAACTATCTCCCTGGAATATACCCCGTTTAATATTTATAGAGTCTATCGAACTACTTTGCCACTCACCTGGTAGATTTAGGATAGTGTTCCACTGACCCATTAATTTACTTAAAAACTTACAAATTTTGTCATCTATTTTATATATTTGTAAAACTCTCTTTAGCCATGAATGTGAATATTATTATTATTATTATTATTGTGGTATCTATATAATTTTCGCACCTGGTTGGGTTCTATAAATATATAATTATAAATTAAAATGAAAAGATAAATATACATAATTATCAATAAAATAAAATAAATACAAAAACTACATAAATAAATAAGATCCAACCAGATGGGAGCCCTCGGCAGGGGAGACCAAACGGCCGAGGGTTAGGAGGAAAGGGAAAGAAACCGGCGGACGATGCGGGCAGTATCGAGGAGCACCGCCTTCTGCATTTGAGCCCGGAGCGGTCCGTCACGGAGTCCCAGTCGCCTCAGATGACCCGAGAGGCTGACTGGGATTAGCCCATTCGCAGAGACGACTACAGGAATAATTTCGGTCGGCATACCACCCCACATGTCGGTCACCTCGCGAGCCAGGTCCAGATGTTTTGTTCGTTTCACTGTTTCGGCTTTCACGAGGTTCTCGTCATACGGAATGGTAATGTCGATCAAAAAAATCCTTGACTGTGCCCGGTCCATCAGCACAATATCAGGCTTATTCGCATGAATAGTTCTGTCTGTGATGATTGCCCGGTCCCAGTAGAGCCTGGCGCGGTCATTTTCGAGCACGGCTTCCGGCAAGTACTTGTAATACGGCAATTTTCGGTCCACGAGACCGTATTTCAGAGCGAGCTCCTGGTGTAGAATTCTGGCTACTAGGTTGTGCCTGTGTAAGTACTCAGAGTTAGAAAGTTATTATTATGTGTGGGGTATCTAAATAGTTTTCTCATCTGGTTGGGATGTATAAATATATAATTATAAACGAAAATGAAAAGATAAACATACAAAAATATCAATAAAATAAAATAAATATGAAAATACATAAATAAATAAAAGCCCAACCAGATGGAAGCCCTCGGCAGGGGAGACCAAACGGCCGAGGGTTAGGGGGAAAGGGAAAGAAACCGGCGGACGATGCGGGCGGTATCGAGGAGCACCGCCTTCTGCATTTGAGCCTGGAGCGGTCCGCCACGTAGTCCCAGCCGCCTCAGATGACCCGAGAGGCTGACTTGGATTAGCCCGTTTGCAGAGACGACTACAGGAATAATTTCGGTCGGCAGACCACCCCACATGTCGGTCACCTCGTGAGCCAGGTCCAGATATTTTGTTTGCTTATCTGTTTCGGCTTTCACGAGGTTCTCGTCACACGGAATGGTAATGTCGACCAAAAATATCCTTGACTGTGCCCGGTCCATCAGCACAATATCAGGCTTATTCGCAAGAATAGTCCTGTCTGTGATGATGGCCCGGTCCCAATAGAGCCTGGCGCGATCATTTTCGAGCACGGCTTCCGGCAAGTACTTGTAATACGGCAACTTCCGATCCACGAAACCGTATTTCAGAGCGAGCTCCTGGTGTAGAATTCTGGCTACTAGGTTGTGCCTGTGCAAGTACTCAGAGTTAGAAAGCGCCGAACAACCGGAGATGACATGCCTAAGTGACTCACCGGGATGGCGACAAGCTCGACAGATGTCGATGGTGCCATCCTTTAGGATGTATCTCCGATAGTTGTTGGTCTTAATAACCTGATCCTGTATTGCACAGACAAAACCCTCGGTTTCCCCGAAGAGGTCACCAAAGCGTAGCCAGTGGAGAGAGGTTACTGTGTCTACGAAAGGCCCATGTAGAGACTTGTAGAACCTCCCGTGGAGCTCCTTCTCCTTCCATACGGTCTCCCGGTCGGAAATTGTCTGCACTGCCGGGTCTTGCCATTGCTCGTTGGCTAAGGATAGATGGGTAAGTCCTTTATCACAAGAAATGACGTCCTTATAGAATGGATCATCCGATCTCGCCAGGAAGTAATTACGGAGGCTGCACACTTCGCGATTATGCATGGTGAGCGCGCTCAAGAAGCCACGCCCACCATGCTTTCGCGGCAAGTACAGCCTCATTACCGACGATCTCGGATGATGCATCCTGTGGGACGTCATGGTAGTGCGGACTTTTCTATCCAGGGCGTTAAGTTCAGTCTGAGTCCACCTGAGTATGCCAAAGGTATACATGAGGACAGGTATGACCCAGCCGGACTCAGACAATCGCCCTGGAAGATACCCCTTCTTATCCTTATGTGGTTCTCCGCAGCCATCATCCGCTCGCCCAGATGACAAAGGATCGTACTCCACTGCCCCATACACTGCTCGAGGAAGTCTCTAACTGTACAGTCTATCTTGTACAGTTCGAGGACTCTCTTTAGCCATGTATGGGGCACCGAGTCGAATGCCTTTCTGTAGTCTATCCAGGCGGCGGAGAAGTTCCGACGGTTGCGTTTCACCACTTTGCCAATGACCGCGTCAATGAGGAGTGGTTCCTTGGTTCCACGACCGCCGCCCCGACATCCATTTTGAGCGCGCGACATCACCTGATTTGAGTCCAGGTGACGAGTGATTCTCGCGCTCAAAATGGATGTTAGTGTCTTATATATGGTCGGTAGACATGTGATGGGGCGGTATTTGCTCGGGTCTGTGGTACTCTGGCCTTTAGGAACCAAATGGGTGATCCCAGTAGTGAAGAGGCTCGGGAGCGACTTCTGGTTGAGAACCTCTTGAAACTGTCGGGCGAGCACAGTGTGACACACCACGAACCCCTTCAGCCAGTAGTGATGCAGCCCGTCGAGTCCCGGACTTTTCCAGTTCGGGGCCCTACGGACCGCCTCAACTACGTCATCCGGCGTTATGGTGACGGGGTCCATAGGCGTAATACCCGCACACTGACTCGCCACAACTTCCGTCCAAGGGCCCTCGTTGTGGTTTACGGGCTCTGACCACAGGCTGCGCCAGAATGCGACCGTGTCGGCCTGATTCGGTACTGGGCCCGTTCCACTTACCATTGGTCGCTCCAATGATTTATAGAGCCTCTTCTGATCACTCTGGAAGAGACGATTCTGGTTGAACCGTGTCGACCTCTCGGTATATCGCCGAATTCGCTTTCCCCAAGCAGCGATTCTCTGCTTCAGGTCGTCTATGCGCTCCGTCAGTTTTCGCATTATATCCGGCTGGGACAAACTAACATTTGTCCCAGCAAACGCCATCCTGACGGTGCGCACAATCCTTGGCCTGGTATTGCCTGACCTGAAGCATATCAGTCTGCCGATGAGGGCCCTAGCCTTTGCGATACGTTCTTCAATTCTTGTTCTCCAGGCTGGGATAGCACTACTTTGTCCAGTAGTGCGTCCAGCCGTGGAAAGTTTGGCGCCTATAATACGGCAGACTGCCAGTGCGGCGCCAAAGAGAATTGAGTCCGTCTCGCAAAGGTCCCGGCTGGCTTCCAAATAGGTCACCAGCATTGGGTTCAGAGCCCTCACGACAGCCCGATTCCGCTTGCTTAGGGCTATGCGGGGAAGTCGCGGTCGATTTTCGAGAGGCGTACTGCGCGTTTCCACAATCGCCTCTTCCAATGTACTCCTCATTTTATTATTATTACTATTATTATTATTATTATTACTATTATTTACGGTAAGTGTTCTCACTTCTCAGCTCTAGGCTGGATTTCAACTACATTTACGGACCGAAGCCAAAGCAAATGCAGCGTGTGGTGTGTAGTGTAGTTCATGTGATATGATGAGGTCCTATTTCGTTTTCTTCTAACGGCATGAATTTCCTAACTATTCTGCATGTATTTAATATAGCTGCTTTTTATTATTATTATTATTATTATAATGATTTTAGAGTTTAAGTTAAGGGTAAACAAGGTAATTGCATCATATAGTAATATGAAAATATTAAGTTTTACTATTAAAATATCTATTAATTCGTACACATTCAAAAACCACTAGTGATTTCGCAAATATTTATTAAAAATAAAACATAGATATATAGTAAACCATTGCAATAAGCGCATTAGGAGTATTGAGTTCGAGTCAGCTAGAGCCAAAGTAAGTGAATACTCACAAAATATGTGGTCTATATGACACAACGTCCAAGATTTATTAATCGTGAACTCATGAGGTTAAGCCAGTTGACAAAAAGTACCCCCAAATTGGAATTGGAAATGTTATAACCTTTGAAATTTTTATCACAAGTATTTGAAGATGATAATGGCTTTATGACCTCATAATAAAAAATCACAAATATTTTCCACATTAACCGTTATTCTAGATTTTATTTATTACGTATATTAGGTTCATTTTAAAATAGTTTCGTAGTCAATCTACGGTTGATCGTAAATTTGAATGTGTTTGTTTGTACAGTTGAATGTACGAATGACGAGACTGTTCGCCAAAAGAATGTTTTTCATATACGGGTTTTATCGAAATGTCGTTCTACATATTGAAAAATATGTGCTGTTGCATTAAGAAAATTTTATATATATATTAATCGCACTATACAATAATAATCATTATTGTAAGCCAATTATAAGGTTGTGGTAGCAAATAAATCAAAATAACTAAAGTTACAGGTACAATACGTGGAGTGAAGGACAGCCACATTTAATGGGGTGATGAGCGAGACACCTGAGAAAACACGCGCGAAGTACGATGAATATGGTTGGCTTGGGATCATTTTTTGTGGAAATCCTTGAGAGAGGCATTTAAGGGTGTTACCACACAATCCACCAACGTGGCATCGATTGACGGTAGAAAGGATTAGTCGACGTCGATCGATAGTTTCTACCGCTATTTGAAATGTCGTCTAAATAAAAATCGGCCTTAGAAAACGGCTAGATCTCTCTTCAGTATTCAGAGTTTGCATCTCCGTAATAATAATAATATGAACAAGAGCGTACTGACCAACAATAACGCATCCTCCGAAAAACTTTAAAAGATACTGATGAGGAGCCTACAACCACATCGGTTTACTGTCGATCGATGATTGAACTTTGTTTTATCGAATAGAATCTGTCGATCAGCTAAATTTGCTACTGAAAACTGCTAAAATAATCTGCACGTAGTTATTTTAGGAATATTGTGTACTTCTTCTTCTCTTATACATTACATCACTCGCTTTCTCACTTTTTGATAAAATATGGGGTAGCCAATATGATTCAAGGTGGTTAAAAGTGCGTTAATTATTATTGTAGAAATTTGGAGAGTAGAATATCATTCGTAAAATATCATTCGTATCAGATATGTCAGTCGACAGTCCTGTAGGCAAATGCTAAACATACATTAAAAGTTATCAGTCAATTCTATAATTGTACAATGTAAACAAAAATTTTGAATAGTGGAAATATTTAAAAAAAACCGTCACCGACCATTACCTTTGTCTATGTCTACAAATTAATTAATACGTTCATTGGTTACCACCTGTCAAAAGTCCACTGTAAAACGTAGGCCTCCTGCATAATATATTTTGTCTCATAGTGATATTTTCCATATAAAAGTAGACTAAGTTACTCCTAATAGCATCAGCTGTTTGCCTGTAAAAGTTAGTCCAGCTGTTTCGGAATTTAGCCGAAACAAACAAACAAATAGACAGATATAAATTTTAAAAATTGATTTGTTTTTGTTTTATGTATCGTATATATTTTTATACAAATTTAGTAAAAAGCTGCATAGGACAGGATATGAGTTAACTTAGCTAAGTAAAGTGAATTATACTTGACTCTATCTGGGCCCGGCTTGTTGCACGCACGTTTTTTTCAGAAGCTCTTAGAAATGAGGGGAGGCCTGTACCTAGCAATTGAACACATAGGCTGTAACTTTTTACGGTATGAACGTTAATATCATTTTTATATATTTATTTATGTATATCATAAAATATCCCATTATAAAAATAATACAATATTTTTTACATTTAACACCAAAAAACTTTACACTAAAAACTATTCTATTCAACTCTAGAACACAAAGGAATGTCTTTTTTTCTAGCAATAAGTACCTCTTAAGGCTTAAGCTTCACCTGCCAATTATGAAGTGTTTACTAACTTTGATTTGGCTTGCCACCCAGTGCTCTTTGCAACTCACTTATAGAGTCTAGAGTGGTTTGCTTGCATGTTTAATTCACACCTAGGTATTTAATTACTCCTCTTGCAACCTTTAGTAGCTTAGAAATAAACTAATCATTTTTATGTTGTCAAAAAACAATATGCAGTTTTTATATGATAAAAAAACTGTGTGAACGTTGTCTAATAATATATAATATCGACATGATTTAAGCACATGTCGCGGAAATACCACGGATGCGACAGATTTCCCATATCATGTTCTTATAATCGACAGCGAACGATTACCCTTAAAGCCTTACGCTGTTCAATTAAGATTCTTGTTGGAACCAGATATCGCGTTCTTATAAACTTAGTTTATATAAAAAAAAAACACGGCTTATATTTTGTAATATTAAAATAATATTAAATAATTAATTATTGAACACAGAAGTAATATACAAACAATTGATACCCTATCTCCTAAACTAGCTTACACTGTGTGTTACGTTATAGTAAAGTTCCCCTCCCATTACATTACCTAGCGGCATAAAAAAAGGAGGACATTTTTATATTTAAATTTTTATCGCCCTGGATTATCAAACACATTTTTATTTAAAACAATTATAATGTAATAATTTTCATTTTCATGTCATTATCGCAATATTTTATAGAAACGGCTGTGTTTCCCTCAAGAACTGAAGTTTTAGGAAGAAAAATAAAATATGGACAGTCGGCCAATGTGCCGAGAAGTGAACCCGACGCCCCGGGGCAGCTGTAAACAACTTTGCTAATGGCCATTTAAACTTTGTGAAATCGCCACGCTTTTTGCAAAAAAGTGTGTTGAGGGAAAGCTTTTTCGGTGCAGATACGACGTGCTTTCTTAAACATCTCAACATTTTCTATAAGAAATGCAAACTTTAAAAACTTTGATTGTTTTTGTATTATTAATAAATAAGTGATAATAATAAAAGTATTCCGTGAATTATATGAAAATACGGGGGCCGTGGTAGCTCAGAAACTAAGTTTTAAATGTAAGTTTTCAGTACGCAAGAAATCCGGGTTCGATCCTCTCCGACACTAATTGTTAACCAAAATTTTTAAGCTTTTATTTATCGCGTGCTTGGGGATGAAGATAAACAACCTGTAGTTTCAAAAAAAAATTAAAATATATTCGAAAATATGCGAAGTCTACCACGATTCATTGGACTAGCGCATTGGCCTGATTGCTGCATTACCATCCGAGAACTGAGAGGCGGCCTGTGCGCTGGAGTACGACTCTTAAAGGCTTGACCTTAATTAGAATTATATTACGTTTAAAACATATTTATATATAAATAATATTAAATATTTATATAATTTACATGAGGTATTCAATGATTTACAAAATTACACCTTTTAAAAACTTTATTTTATTATGATTCTTCTCGTTTAATATATCTTTGCATCCAAAGGTTGTCTGGAAGAGATCACTCTTAGCGATAGGACCGCCCATTGTACCTATACATTGTACATTATTTTCCCTCTTTTTTATTAATATTTATGTTTATTTTCGCGTGCAATATAGTGTTATCTATCCATCTATCTTAGTCCAATCAAAAGAGTAAAAAACTTAAACTGAAAATCAAAACAAACTTAATGACTTCTGAATTCAGGGATTAATTCTTCGGTACATAATGTTTAGCATCGTTAAAATATATATAGAATTTTCATGAAATAGATATACATATTACATAAACACTCACGCCTGTCACCCAGAGGGGTGGGCAGAGACTATGGACTTCCATTTGGCACGATCCTGACATACCTCGCTCGCCTCATTTACATCCATATACCTACGCATACATGCTCGTCGGTTAAGAGTACTCCTAATGTAGCCCATTTTCAAAATATCGCCAATTTGATCCATAAACTTTCGTCTAGGGCGTCCCTTTCCGACTCTGCCGTTCACATCTGCCATATAAATTTGCAATGTCACTCCTTTCCACATGACCAAATCACCGAAGCACTCCTTTCTTAATCCTGGTCAGAACATCATCTTGCATACCACATGTTCCCTTATCACATATGCATATATATCAATTCATAAAATATATAATATAAAATACAAATATATATGACGTAGGTACTTAAATAATATTTAAAGTTAAACGTAATGTGGATAAATATTTAATTAATTCGTTTATAATAATTAAAGCTCGGCTCTAAACGGCACTCTTTACGCATCGCAATTCTGTTAAAATACTGGTATATTCATGTTCTTACCAATATTACGTCCTTAAATCTAGAGTCCGCCCGCTGGGCATCAACGAATAAAACCGCATCTAACGCCTGCTTAAAGTTTTCTTAATGCGCACCCCGGGAAACTGCTTCGGAAATCACATTTCTCGTCTATTAGTCTCTCACACACAAATGTACACACAA